ACGGATCGGGTGGAGGCGAGCGTGAGCACGATTCTGGTCAGCAGCAAACACCGGGTGGCTAAGGAGGCGCGTTTAAGTACCGCTGTTTTGAACTAGGGACTGAGGTAACAAGCAAACATGGTACACGAGCTCGACGTTCTCAAGGCCTTTGTGATGGATGGCACGAGCTACAAAGTGGACATCTTGTGGGACGGCATGCGACCTATGTTCAAGGCAAATGACATTGGCACAGTGCTAGGCATGACCAACTTCCATGCTACCTTGAAGAGCTACGATGAAGATGAAATGGTACTAAACATAGTTAGGGACCAGCGAGGAAGCATGCAAGAGACAACCTACCTGACGGAGCGTGGGTTGTACCGCCTGCTCATGCAGTCCCGCAAGCCAGCGGCAAGACCGTTCCAGAAGTGGGTGGTACAGGTGATCGAGACGATCCGTCAGAAAGGCCACTATGACCTAGAGGCTGCAGTGTACGAGGCCAAGGAAGCTACACGCCTTGCAGAAGCAGCAGCAGCACAGAAGATTGAAGAGCTTCTTGTTGAGCAGGCAAAGATCTCAAAGGCAGCAACGGATGCTGCTCGACATACCACCCTCATCAATGCTTTCAAGAAGGGGGACTGCCTTGTGTACTTTGGCAAGATACGGGACGAGCCGGACTCCAAGTCTTTGATAAAGATTGGAAGTACAAAGGACCTCAAGGATCGTACAGTAGGCTTGGAGAAGGAGTTTGGCTCAATGCAGATCTTTGAAGTCTTCCAGGTCAGCCTGTATCGTCAATTCGAGGAGTTTCTGCAAGGACATCCACGCATTGCTGAGCACGTTTACAAGCAACCTATCCATAACGGGCATTATTCGAACCGGGAGGTGTTTAAGATGACTTCTGAGCAAGTGGAGCTTGCTGTCCAGATCGCCAAACGGCATCAGACAGCTTATAACGATCGTGCGACGACCAAGCAGCTCGTGGAGCTTGAGCTTCTACGCTACAAGAACAGCCTACTGCAAAGCAACCTCACTGGCACAGAAGTCAAGGAACCCATTCCATATTACACTCCGCCAGATGATCGTCGTTATACACAGAGACGTGGCGACAAGATCCAGAGATACTCAAGTGATGGCAAGCAGCTTCTTGCAACCTATCCAGGGTGCGCTGAAGCAGCAAGGCAGGCTGAGGGGGCTGCTCCTGCAGGCAACTTGATCAGGATTGCCATTAACAAGCGGACAGTCTACAAGGGTTTCCGCTGGGCAAAGCTGGACAGGACTTTGCCTGATGACACCGTGCAAGACATTGGCGAGACAGTGATAAGCAGAACTAGTAAGAAGGGTTTCCTTGCCATGATTGCACTTGACAGAAGCCATATTGTCAAGGTTTTTGCGGACATGAAGGAGGCTGCAGAGGACAGACAGTTTAGTGGAATGGCTGCAATCAGCACAGCAATCAAGAAAGGGACCAAGTCTGGAGGCCACTATTTCTGTCCTTGGTACGAGTGTGGTGAACAACTGAGGAGCGAGTACTTATCTCGCTGCACCTTGCCAGAAGAACGGGTGCGCTCTAATGGAATGATGATCGAGCAGATTCATGCACTAACAAACGATGTCCTGAAGCGCTTTGCATCCATCCAAAGCGTTCAGACGACAATGCGAATAGCACGAGCTTCACTGAAACGGGCTTTGGAGGAAGGCTCAATTCTCAAAGGCTACAAGTGGCGGCAAGTGGTCGTGCAAGCACCGGAGGATGGAGACGAGGAAGAGAAGGCTCAATTTGACTGAGGAGTGCGCAGCTTGCTCAAATAATAAATGCAAGAGTACATAAGGGACATGAACAGTGGGCAGGTCCACATCAAATACGCGCTCGAACAAGCAGTCGTCCAGTCAACCAAGCCTGGAGAGTACTTTCTGAGCCCCATCCCTACCCCCGCAAACAGCCCCTGCCCGTACGATGAGGTCGACTATGGGCTCACCTGTACCAGCGTCTATCCTGACCGCCCGGGAATCGATGTCGACTCCCGCCTCCGGGGTCTCTTCAGAGAAACAGTCAAGCCAAG